AACCGAGACAAGGCCATGACCTTTAGAAGCCAAAACCGAGACAAGGCCATGACCTTTAGAGGCCAAGACCAAGAAATAGTCAAGACCGTTAGAGGCTGAGAGCAAGACAAATACCATATATGGTCTTGGTCTCAGCCTATAAAGGTATTGTCTCAGTCTTGGTACCCATTGGTCTTGGTTGGTGTGGTCTTGACTACAACACTACAGCCTGTCATTGATCAGATCAGAATGTATACAGCCTCCTGCTTGGAGGACAGAGACACAGCTTAGTGTTCAACTGTCTTTATTTTGGCAACAATATGGCTATAGGATGTAAAATGAAGATTATCTAAAGGATACCATAAAAAAGACACCTGTTTGTCGAAACATTTGCTTTCTTCTGTTTTCAATTTAATAGTTTCTCCACTGAACCAAGATTCAAAATACCTTTTCTCTCTAAACCATTGAGCATTTAGAAAAAACTCAAGTCTTAAAAAAGAAAGAACAGTTGTTAATATCTAAAGACTTTTTTTATTAAAGGGAGAATAGAAAAACGAACAATCAGGCAAAGAAATACATATAAAACAAACAAGAAAATTAAGTGGTAAGGAGTAGAAAAACATTATTATACACTGACTTGAAAACTGTGGAAGCTGCAGCTAAAGTTGCTGCGTCTGGATCTTAGCTAATGATGCGCTAACTAACAAACACTGAGACGCTGCTGCGTTTGCAGCTCTAATCTCACACCTTTAACATGTAAACTGAATTAGGATTAATTCATTAAATAAATACACAATATAAATAAAATAAATACATGTATCCCATCATTTCTAAAATTCTTAAAGCTCACTTTCAGGATAAAGTCGGAAAATCTGCTCCTTATCTAAATATATCTTTATGTCTACTGACGGTCTAGTTTAGATCTCTGGTTTATAAAACCCAGAACAACATTTTTAGCTTTTCAAACACACTGAACCATTATAACCAGCATTATCACCATGGCAACATGTAATGAAATCCTTGCCACCGGCGGCTTCCAGAGCTGCGCTCTTATCATTTCAACATATTATGTGAACAATTACAACCGCTTTGGGGAATAAGTCTGCTGAAGGAGCAGCCGACGGATTTCTTTCCCCATTATGACTCAATAAAGATTACAAGCTCGACAGATATCTCATTGCATTTGTTCTTGAGTGATTTAAAGAGCCATAAAGGAAGTCTTCGTCCCCAATCTGCCTGGCTTGAAGAAAACGGAGGCGGTTAGACAGGTTAGAGGAGCACCGAGCTCCTCTGTAGAACTCAGCTTTCTAGAAAAAGGACTTTAGGGTTTGTTGTGTCATTCTGAGGATCAATCAGTAGCTCACGCATCTCTTTCACATCTGACAAAGAAAGCAGATCAAGATACTTAGAAGTGCTCCCTGTGACTCCTTAAAAACAATGTTTTGTTTCCAGCAGCAGCTTAAGCAGCAGCACCCTGGCCTAAATATAAGCATATAGAAATATAAAGGATGGACACCATCAACCACAAGGAGTTTCTGAATGACAATTTAACTCTTTAGACTGAAATAAATGCCATGATTTGTCATTAAAAGTACCTACAAGTCTGCTCTATCATTATGTTAATTTGAAAGTAAAAGGTATTTCCTTTTCCACATACAGATTAACCATTTCCCCAGTTAGATAAGCACTAGTTTTCATTTTCGTACTTGTTATCTTGAGGTGTAGGCTGGTGAAGATTCCCAGTCATTCGGGTCATTAGAAATAGTGTTGAGTTCAAGGCTTTATAGATGGACCAAAACAGAGACATAGACAGGTTTCAGTTACTGCAGGCTGACAAAAAAAAAACAAAAAACGAAATGAACCACATTCCTAAGGGGTGGAGCTGCTGGTCAGGTTCAATTTGCATGTTTCTAAGCCAAAACACGCCTTTTTGGTTTGGTCCACTCTATAAAGCCTCAAACTCGACGCTATTCCTTTTGAATTTAAAAAGCTTCCTGGATGGGAAGCGAAACGTCTTTGAACTTGGAAAAAATGTCCAGTGGATTGTTTTTAATTGTTTTGAAATATCTTCAGCATGATGCAGGACGGGGTTGAGGGGGCATCAGCCTCAGCAGAGAGACATTGCCCCTCCAGCGTGTCCTTGGTCGTCTTTTGGACCTCCTCTTGGTGGGATGTTCCTGGAAGACCTCCCGAGGTAGGCCTCCAGGTGTCATCTGGAAAAAAAGTCCAAGCCATCTCTACTGACTCCTCTTGATGTGTAGGAGAAGCAGCTCCATTCCAAGCCTCTCCTCTCCTGAGGTCCTCACCCTCTCTCTAAGCGAGTCCCCAGCCCCCCTGTGCAGGAAGCTCATATCAGCCACTTTCTCCAGGATCTCGCTCCTTTGGTCATGAACACAAAGTGTTAAAGCAAAATGCCATTAAAGATAAAAAGCAACATGCAATATAAAAACAGTGTATATAGAACAAAAAAGCATAAAAAGTTGTAATGTTCTGGAATATGTTTCCCTTAGAAATAAAAATGATATAAAATGTTCCATAAAAGTAGATCAAGTTAAGAAACAAGAAGGAATGCATGGAGAACAGATTGACCATTACCTGTGGTGTCCCTCAGGGCACAGTTTCGGTCCTCAATCGTTTGTTGTTATATGTTAAAAACTTTAATTATTCACACTTTGTTGTTGTTTGTCATTTAGGGTTTCAGATCAAGTGGAGTTTTTTATTTTTCTACACCAGTTTTTTTTTTAGCCTTATTATTATTCCTAATTTCTTGACACTTCAGCTTCAACTTTTAAACGTTTTTCTTTTCAAAGAAGTAAAAAAATTGAAGAACTTTCTAAAATTTTATCTAAATAAATAAAATAAATTTGGGCCCTTTTTCTTGCCCCTCTTTTTCCTTGAGAATTTGGTGTGTATACTCATTCATGTAGATATAGCATTAGCAACATTAGCAGCTAGCCAGGTTTTTTGTTTTTTTACATGGTTTCTTGGTCTACTGTATTTCGCAGTAAGTAACAAGTTACACAAGCAGCAACAACTGCTGACTGCCGGCTTCAATATTGAAGAAGGACCAAAATCGAACTCTTGGGGGCTTTCCGGTGTAAAAAAAGAGCCAACATGATAAGAAATCAAGCTGCATTCACACCAAAATACACATTCTAACAGGAAAAAAACAGATTCCTGGGTGATGACTCCTTTAAAGGAAGCAATGTGAGATATATATAAAAAAAACAATATTAAATCCTGACACAAAGCAGTATTGGTACCCTCATATTTTACAATGGCAGTACCATCAACACCTTTGTTTCTAGATGTTGGAGCTTGGCCTGTTTTCCAGTGTAGTCCTGTTTCTCTGACTGTGACTAACTGGATGTGCTC